CGCCGTGCCGCCATCGCGCCCGGGGACAGGCCAAGGCACCTGGGACTGCTGGGGAGTTAAACAAAACCCACATAACTGATATGGAGTGGGGTGTTTTTCCTCACAAAGACTCTGTGGAAATCGGGTGCTGTTTGTTCTTTAAGTGCATCAAAATAAAATAAAGTTGTCTGAAGGACTCAAGGGTTCTGGGGAGAGAGAGGGCCATTAGGCCTGGGATTGCTGGCGCAAGGCCTCAGCACGTCCTGCCGACACCAACAGTGAAAATAAAGACACAGTGCTCTAAAGCTGCGTCTCTAAAGCTGCATTTTGGCTGTAAAGCTCAAAATGCTCAGCCAAAGTGGAAATTGTTGATTTTGTTTTTTGTAAGAGTGATGCAGCCCACACCGCAGCCACTCTGAGGCAGCTCAGTCAGGATTTTTTCAGATTTTTAGCCAGGAAGCTCTCAGGGCTCAGGCAAATCCAGAACCACAAAGGGTCACTCCACACTCTTGCAAAAGGGGCAGTTTTTCTGGTTCCACGTATTCAGCCCAAAATAAAAGCCAGGATTTGAAGGGTAAAGGCACCAGGTGAACAGAGAGGTGATGTTTGAGTCCCTTGGTTAAAGATCTGTCTCCAGAAACAAACATTTCCCACTCATTTGGGCTGCGAGCGCTGCATTTTACTCTATGAACAAGTCTGAGGAGCTGTTTCTCAGAAAACATCCTAGACAGCAAGATTTTCTCCTCTTCATTACACAAGAAAAGGCCAAGAGAGTTGGGATTACAGAAGAAAAGCTTTGGGGTAATCTGAATTTGGCTTCTCAGTACCTAAGGGACAATTTCCAAGTGATGGAAGGACAGCACCCAGGCAATGGCTCCCACTGCCAGAGGGCAGGGACAGATTTTGGCAGATTGGGAATTAGGAATTGCTGGCTGGGAGGGTGGGCAGGCCCTGGCCCAGGGTGCCCAGAGCAGCTGTGGCTGCCCCTGGATCCCTGGCAGTGCCCCAGGCCAGGCTGGATGGGGCTTGGAGCAGCCTGGGATAGTGGAAGGTGTCCCTGCCATGGCAGGGGGCGGGATGGGATAAGCTTTGAGGTCCCTTTCTACCAAACCATTCTGGGATCTGCCAACCCTATGAGTGACCAGAATTTTGTGCTCAGCTAGTTTGGTTACATAGAGCATGTAGCATGTCTGTACTTTTAAAAAAGCACACAAAGTAGTCAACACTATGACTGGAACCTGTCCTAATAGATTTCTGTCAGTTTTATCTTTGCAGACATTTTTATAAATGGTCATGTGGGCCTGGGGTCGCAGGTACGTGGCGTGCACACACACACACACAACAGGAAACTTTGATGTTCCACTACCGTTATTCCTGCTGGTTCTCTGCAATAAGAAAATAAATAAAAATGCTTCTCTTACTGTTAAAGCCAAAGTTAAATGCTAAAGACACACAGCTTAAAACAGAATTCCTTAAGAAGCTTCATCAATTTCAATGGAAATTGCTGCTATCATTATTATTATCATCACTATTATTACTACTGTTACTGTTTTTATTTTACTGTTACTATTTTATTTTTACTCTACATTTCCATCGGTTCTGCTGTTCACAGTCCATTTATTTGGGAAATATGGAAGTTATCAGCAGAGTCATTTTCAGCACACCCTGATTTTAAGGAAAAAGCTCATGGACTGCCAAGAAGTCCTAAAAAGCCTCCAGAACCTCAGTTTTCCTAATCACATCCCAGGGAAAACTCACCTTGTCAGGACAAAGGGACACCCCAGCCCCGGTCTCTGGGACAAGGACACGAGGAACACAAGACACCACCTAAGGGAAAGAGGGATATATTCTATAGAGATATATGTGATATATTCTATAGAGATATATGTGGTTATATATGCCCCTGGGTGGAAGGATGGGGATGCCAGAGGTGCGCACTCCAGTCTCCCAAAACCCCCGTCTCTCGGGGATGGTACCGCCCCTTCCCGCTAGCTCACAACAGACACACAGGCTGGCCCATTCCCTACCGGGGGAGTCCCGACCGCGGCGGGCTCCCCTTTCCCTGACGCCGATGGTTCCGCCCGCCCGTTCGCGGCCGAAGGCGGCGGACGTGCCCATGCGAAGGAAAGGGGGGAGCAGCCAGCGCGGCTCCCCCGGCACTGACCTGTTCCCGCCGCCGCCGCCGCCGCGCTCTGCTCGCCGCCCGCGGGGTCCTGGCGGAGCCGCGCCCGCCCAGCCCCGCGCCGGGCCCGCCCGCCGCCAGCGCGGCAAATAACAAACAGATTGTAACGATTATTGCCATAAATAAATACCGACCTCAGCCCGCAGCGAGCCTGCCGCCGGTCAGCGTCCGGCAGCCGCGACAGGCAGCGCGGGGGGCAGCCCGCAGGGCCCTGAGGGCGCACCGTGACATGGGCATGGTTAAAAATTATATAAATTACACCCGTTCTATGCATTGTATCCCTATTGTTATACCTGTTACAGCCTCTTTATCCTATGTATGTAATATGTAATCATACCTCATGTGGCTATGATCATAAATCATGTAAATTATATCCCTTATATCCTATATGGACATGTTTGTATCCGTAGCCATGCACTATGGATATCCATAAACTATTTTTTTAATCTCTATATGTTTTTTGCTCTCTATATTATGGATATATTATGCCCTGTATGGATATCATACATAATAATGTATTCATATATCGATATTGTTATATTTATACATATATATACACACGTTATAAAAATGTTATCATATCCATACATGGATATATTATACCCATAATATCTCCACGGTAACTAGTATATATATTTTTATATATATATATATATATATATATATATATATATATATATATATATATATATAAATACATACACACATATATATATATTGGATACTTGGAAGAAATTATTCCCATTATATATCTACAATGTAATGTTTTAAATTAAATCCATAATATGTCCATAGTGATAATGTAATATATATTATTATATCATAATCCACTTATATCTATAATGAATATGTTTTTATACCTATATTTATAATTCCACATTTATATCAGTTTATATATTTTGTAACATGAATTTTAACCTACAAACGCATTAATTTTATATATAGTTTTACCAACTATTACTAGGATGCATAGACACGTAATAACTTTATGTTGCATGTTCCTTGTTTTTTGCAGTTTCAGCTGCAGCACTGTTCCAGAGCTGCTGGAAGCCACGCGAGGGGACAGCAGCAGTGTGGTTATCCCCTGGCTGTCCCTGCACTCCCTGCTCATTCCCTGCACACCTGATCCTCAGATGCTGCCCCACTTTGAATCCTGACTTTTCACCTGTCAGGTGAAGCTCGTCCCAGTTTTGCCTCCAGCGTGGGATTTCCGCTGCTCCTTCTCCCTGCCTGTGTGCCTGCAGCGCCTCTGGAAGCACAGCAAGGAGGAGAACATCACTTTTCACCCGTGTTATTTTAAAGCTGCTGCTGCAGTCTTTAGTGCTGGCCTTTATTTCAGTAAGAATAAATTAAGTCTGGATGCAGAAATGGGGTTACGCCGCTTTTCTTTCCAAAAAAATTTCACAGGAATACAAAACGTTCCACACACACATTGCCCCGTTTCCACCAAAGACAGACCTGTGAGAACAGCTCAGCCTCGAGGCTGTACCCTCGTCACCTCTGACTGACACAAAGATCATCACAGAGAAATGTGATGATTCTTCTAACAGATCCACAGGTTTTAACATACAGGGATCCTGAAGATCCTGTTCTGCCTCAGGACAGCATTGCCACGTCTCATTGGGTTTGCTACATAAATCAAGATACAGCTCCACAGCAGAGATGGTATTGCCACATGCCACAGGGATGAGGAAAAAGTTACACATTTCTTAAATGAGCAGTAACTGGTATTTGGAACAGAATGGAGCAGAGTTTTGAGATATCCCCACTGTATACAGAGAGAGAGAGAGAGAGAGAGAGAGAGAGTTGGGAAAGAGAGTGCTTAACTTGGAAATTCAGGATTTATTTACAAAAATCACAAGAAAAAAGGAAACAACATAAACCTCTCCTCCTGGATGTACTTTACTCTGCAAAAACCTGTGATTGAAGATCACATTAAATGCATTTACATGTTTTACAGATTCTTCTTCATACACAACAGCATATGCTTTAGTCATCAAGACATTGGGAGAAAAGATGATTGGCTAAGCTGCTTTAAAATAATGAAAACTGCTAGGTTTCCCTTGGCCTCCCCTCTTTAATTTAAAGTCAAGCACTTTAGCAGAAGCACAGATGAAGGATTCTAACTTCTCTATAAAGATACATGAGAATCACCTTTTCAGACCTAACTCAGCAGTCTTAATTGAGACAAGACCAGTAGGAAAGCAGTTAGGAGCATTCTCTTCCACAGAACTGCAAAGTCACACACACAGGTGCACTTTCAAAGCTGTTAATTTAACAAATCATGATGATGATGATGATGATGATGGAGGGCAGGGGAAGGAGCAGTAACAGAAGAGGCTGCAGATTCAGGGTTTTCCCAAAGAAATACGTTTGCAAAGCACAGGGTATTCACCTCCCATGGTATTCCCCTCCCATGTTTCCCAGGAAGCTCAGAATACAAACGGTTCCCCACTTTGACCACAGTGATCACCACGCAGAGTTTAATACATATTTTAAAAAGTATAATAACAATTCTTGACAGAAAAGTAACAAATACTAATCACTAATATCCCCAAAGTTAACACAGAGTTACTCAGCTTTAGGTACAGCTTTTTTTTTTTCTTAATTTTTAATTTTTTTTTCTTTGAATTTTGCACTGCAATTGCACCCATTTTCTACTGACTTTACCATCAGTATGAAATACTGATTTGAAGACAAAAATCCCCAATCAAAGCAGAAAAATCCAGCTTTCAATGCTAACCTGAATCAGGACTTTACCCAGCTGATTTTATCTCCCTCCATATCACAGCTGGACTTGAAACCTTTATAACAAGTATTCTTTATGGCATGCTTTCATGTTCTCTTAAACAGTTCCATGGTAGTAATTGAAATGGAAACAAACACATTGTTGTTTTTCTCAATTTAAAAACAAATTGGAGAGCGTACTGAAGGAAATTCATCCCTGAGTAACAAAGCATTTAAAAGCTGCATCCCATTGCCAGTCACTGCAACATCCTATGACATTTACTCTAATAATTAATCAACACTATGAACAGGCAGCAACAGAACTGGTCACAGTCCAATGTGTTTGCAGCATTGTTGCATTGATCCCGTGATCCTGCTTAATGAAACTGCAAGGGAACATTAGGAAATGGGATAAATAGAAATAGTGTCTTTTATTATTTTAAGTTGAATGTCAGATTGACAGCTAAACCGTGCTGGATCCCAGGGAACTCAGAGCAGTGGTGGTCAGCAACTGGCTTCTTTGGATGTCCAAAGGGTTTCCACGGGGTGTCTTCAGCCAAACAGCAGGAGGAGAATGATTGTGATGGAGTTCAGGGCTATTAGTGGCACTAAAGAGGGAGAAAAACGGGAAATTAATAGTGAAAATTTTGCTTTCCACATCACAAAATGACAGAGCTTCACATAACGTTGAGAGAAGGAGCAGAACCAGTCAAAATTTTAGAAATACATTTCATTTTCCTATGTAAAGTAGGAGCCAGTGGAAGGAGTCGGGCTCAAGGACATTAGTAGAAAGCAACAGCAGAAGTATTTTTTCCACAGCATGTTTTAACTTTAACCCAGAGCCTTTAGTTCTGTTTTAACTTCAACACAAGTAACTCTTTCTCCAAATGTAAGTAAACAATCTAAAATTCAGCTTATGTCCTTGGCTTTGCTGTGCTTTAGAATAAATGTTTTGGGTTTTACTCAGTGATAGGCAAGACAGGTTAAGATTTGTTACTCCCTCTCTACCATCATCTACAAAATGAATTTTTGGTGTCCTTCGTAATAAAGAACTATCAGTAACTTGCAAATTGAGTCTATTTTTCTCCCCATCTTCTGAGGCATGTAAGCCTGGCTTGCCTTTCAGAAACCCCAGAATTACATTTCCCTCACAGGTACTTGCCATAAAGTTGGATTTAGACAAAGTGATTGACACTAATTGCACACTTTGGTTGATCACCAAACTTCCTCCCAGCTGCCAAACCCCAAGGAGAGGCAAAAGCTCAGCCGGAGAAACACAAGCCAGAGCCAGGGAGTGTTTTTCCATTTTTACCAGAATTAGGGCACTTTAGGTGAGGCCCGCACCCTCTCACAGAGAGTCCAGGCCCGGATGAAGTATAGATTAGTGCAGAAACAAGACATTACAGATTGTAATAATAATCATCATAATCATAATGATAATAGTAAATATTGTGCCCTTACCTCTCATAACGGTTCGTATTGATCGAATGAGGTTTGTCAGCTGTGCTTTAATTCCTGGTTCCTCTCCAAATCCTCCAATCCCTTGATCGCTTCCCCAGCCAACTGGGTCACATAAAAACAGACACACACTTTAGGAAAAAAACCCCAAAACCACACAACAAATGCTACAATTTTAGCAAGCAATCTATCCTGAGTGTAGTTTATACTAACACAGATAGACAGCCCAATTAGCCTCATTTCACAAGCATATTTTTATACAGTAAGCTGAAACTGTTAAACCTCACATTAAGCGATGGTAAATCCATATTTCTGTAAAGAAAACCCTCACCTTTTTAATACACCACTGTTCCCTGCATGCCCAGACTAACAGGTGAGTTCATCTGGGCTTAAAAAATAAAACAGCTGTCAAAATAAACCCTAAATCTGTTCACAGTGATGCTTCAGCACTGAAAATGGGGCCAAACGAGAGAACGGCCAGCACAAATTCCAAAATCAGACTGATGATTTTTGCAACTGCTGTAAAAAAAAAAAAAGCTAGAACTTTTGAGGAAAAAAATTGGGAATTTTTCTGAGTGTAGCAGAAGTCCTGAAGTTTTACGATGCCCAGACACAGCATGATGGGACCAGGGATGTGTCCAGGGATTTTTAAAACCTGCTGGCTGCAGCCCTTACCATTTTGGGAAGGAGCAGAGCAAGGAGCAGCTCTCAGTACACCAAGCTCCACTGCCCAAGCTGTGCATTTCTTTCCCCAAAGGCCACTTTTAAGTGATTTTTGTTCTCCCTTTCACGCCTCCCTGGCACCAAATTGAGGGTGGTGGGCGAGTCCTCTTCCTGACCAGCCTTGTCAGCTGCTGCTTTCCACTGGGATGAGCCTGGAACTGTATTCCCAAGTCCCACGAGGCTGACAGGTGGCTTCACCCATCCCTCTAGTCCCCACATCTCCCTTTTTTAACTCCAGCTGCTCGTCAGGAGAGCCAAAGAAAAGGCCAAACCCAAACTTTCCCTTGAAACAAATCCAGCAGGGGAAAGGGATGCCCTGCTGCACTCCTGCCAACAATCCTGGCTCATCCTGACGTGGAGAAGTCAGGGTTCTCCACACGAATGAACTCGGAAACCGTGGATCCTTGGCCAGTTTTTTTTTTTCCACGGCTCTGCAGATCCTTGTCGGTGGATTTTCTCTCTTTTGCAGGGCTTTGGCTTCTTTTGAAGGGCAAGGATGCCCAGCCCTGGGAATCCCACGGACAGAGAGTCGCCATCTCATCAAGAACCAGGCACGGCAAGAAAAAGAAAACCTTTGTACGACACCAACCACTCCGAGGCGCGGCACGAAGGGGCCCGAAACAGTTAAAAATGAACAGGAAAAAAGGACAATTATAGGGGAAAAAAAAAAAAAAAAAGAGAGACAAAGGTACGACGAAAGCGGCTGGGAATTCATCCCCAAAGCCCAAACCCACCCCGATTCCCAAAGCCCTCCCCCGTGCGCTGCTGCTCCCACCGGCAGGGAGCGGCGGCGGGGCCGCGGCCACCGCGTCCACCTCCCCAGGCCGGGCGGCCCTCCCGGCTCACCGTGGCGGAGGAAGCGCTCCTCGTGCAGCACGGCCACGGCATTGACGATGAGGAGCGAGGCCTGCAGCAGCGAGTAGAGCGTGAACGCCATGGCCCGGCGGGGCGGCCCCGGGAGCGGCACCAGCAGCAGAAGCGGGAGCGGCGCCCGAGAGAGACGTGGCGGGGCTGGGGGCGGGGCCTCGCTCACGGCCGGGAGGGGCGGAGCCTGAGGGCGGGGCCTCACTCAAAGGCTGGGGCGGGGCGTGGCCTCTCCGCCGCTGCCGCGCGTTTGGGGCGCAGGGAGGGGGCGTGGCTTTATGGGGCGGGACAAATATGGGGCGCGGCTGGATGAGCCCTGCCCAATGGGGCGTGGTGTGGTTTGTGGAGGCGTGGCCTCCCGGCCGCGCCGTGCCCGCCCTACGGGGCGTGGTCTGGAGGGGGCGTGGCCTCAGTTTGCCGGTAGCCGCGTTCGAGTCCGGGCTCGCCCGCGAATCCCTCGGGACCCCGAACCCCTCGGAGCCCCTCGGGTCCGGCCGAACCCGCGGACCTCGCAGAGCCCCGTGGATCCCTCGGCGCCCCGAGGATTCCTTGGAGCCTCCTGAGTCCGCTGGATCTATGGATCCCTCTGGTCAATGGATCACCTGGATGCCTGTGGATCCCTCGAGTCCGTGGATCTCTCGGAACCCCGTGAGTCCCATGGAGCCCCTTGGGTCCATTGGATCCGTGGATCCCTCGCGCCAATGGATCCTTTGGAGCCCCGTGGAGCCCTCGAGTCCGTGGACCCCTCAGAACCCTGCGGGTCCCTCGGAGCTCCTTGGGTCTGTCGGGACCGTGGATCCCTCGGGTTCATGGATGCCTCGGAGCCCTGTGGTTCCATCAGAACCCCTTGGGTCCGTTGGATCCGTGAATGCCTTCAGTCCATGGATCCCTTGGAACCCCGTGGATCCCTCGGGTCCATTGGTCGTTCAGAGACCTCTGGATCCCTTGGGTCCATTGATCTGTCAGAGCCTCTTGGGTTCATTGGGTCCATGGATCCCTCGTGTCCATGGAGCCCGTGGAGCCCTGTGGATCCCTCGTGGCCATGGGTCCCTTGCCTCCACATGGGTTCCTCGGAGCTCCTTGGGTCCATCGGATCCGTGGATGCCCCGGGTCCATGGATCCCTCGGAGCCCCGTGGTTTTCTCAGGTCGGCGGGTCCTTCGGAGCGCCGTGGATCTCCCAGGTCCGTGGATCTCTCGGAGCCCCATGGACCTCACAGCGCAGGCTGTGACGTGGGAAGCTCCGCTCGCCGTGCAGCAAGTGCCCTTTGGATTGGAGCGGGAGTAAGGCTCATCCTCCTCCTCCTCTGTCGGTGACGTGGTAATGTGGTGTCTGCTGGCAGCAGGGAGACACTGCCCAGCGTGGGGCAGCCCTGTGGCCATCCCTCATCAGCAACCCAACACAAGTAGAAATTAATAAAAAAACATAAACACTGCACATGAAAAAATACTTGAGTTTATACTTATATTTATCCTTATGGACAGCAGGGTTTTTCTGTGTGTTTTCTCAGCACGTTGGTTTTCCTCCTGTCCTGACTGAGGTTTCTTGCAGGAAGTCAGCCCAGATCCCAGATGCTATTTATCCAGCACATAATCCAAAGCACACTCCAAAAGAAAACAATTACCTTTTATAGCGGATTGATCACTGCTTCTCCAGTCAAATTACAAAATAACCACAACTGGAGCTCAGGGATACTGTATCCCCTGTTATAACTGCTGTAGTTACACGCTTATCCCTGTACTGTAGGTACACAGTTATCCCAGTGTAGTTATTGATGCACAAATAGACATTTTTTCCCCTTTGCCTCTTTCAGTCCCATTGGCTGAAGGGGGTGATTTGCATAACCCAGCTGATTTTATTTCCCCGTAATCTCACAGTACACAAGCCCCTTAACTCGGGTGGTTGGTGCTTTTATGACTCAATCAGGGCGCAGTGATTTGCACGATGCCTTTGTGGTGGTGGTTATTGGAGCCCTCTGCTGCAATGGAGGCAACAGCTTTGTGCTCAGTGTGGTGGGGTGCAGAGACCCTATCTCGATTCTCTGCCCTGCCACAGACTTCTGACACAGCCTGGACAAATTATTCACCAGCTGTCAATATTGCATCCCCATGCTGTGTGAGAAGATCAGCAGCAAGTGATGACCTGATACTTCAATTAATCAATTGTCATGAGTATGTAATCAATAGATGCTCAGACACCACGTGAATCAGCTGAGAAGAAACCCACACCTCAGCTTCTTCTTGTGTTCGTCTTTCCTTCCCAAAACACCCACTCTGGTACAGTCAGTGTCACAATATTGTGCATCTTAATAGTCACTACTATTAAATAACATCACGTTTTAATACTGGAATAAAGCACCCCGCCACCAGAACCACAATTTACAATTTACTCCCAAAATTACTGCTATTGTACAATTGAGATAGAGAATCAAGGATGTTCATCAGAGTTCTGTCATCTGGTCAAAAGTATCATTTCAGCCTCAAAAAGGAATATAGTCTCAATTCAGGGTAATGACTAGAACATCTCTTGCAGTTGCAGTGAGCTCAATATTTTTGAAGCCTGTACTGAAGTGTTTACTTACATGAAAACTCATTGTTTTTCCCAGATGCTTTGGTTCTGAAAACTCTCTTGTGTATGATTAACTTCATGAGCCAGCGGTTAGAGGGAACACTTGAGTGTAGTGGCACATGTGAGCACACACTTGCAGGCTCAGGAACTCCAACACAGCTCCTCTATTTCTCATCTAGGTTTTAAAATTTGCTATAACTGCAAAACTCCTAAAACCCACCATTTTAACATTTTGAAATGGAGCCATTTCTAATTGCCCGGTTCCCACTCCCCCTTTCCGCCCCAAATTTGCAGGGCTTTATAATTCAAATAACCTTTTTCTATCTGTAAATAACAAAACAAAAAATAAAAATTCTTTTCTTGAATGATTATTTCAAACTCCATACAGGCAGGGAAAGTCAATATTGGCCTGAAAAATTTAATCCCAAAGGTCACTACAAATTTTTAAGAAGTTCTGAGTGGTGACGTGTGATGGTCTCACAAACAGGGCTGTCTTTTGTCCTCAGACATAACTTAGGGTATTCTGGCAGTGATTCTATAATTAAATACAGATGAATATGGGGCTCACTAACATAGGTATCTTATAATCACCATGATCAAGTAGCATTTCCTGGGCTACCTCCTTACGGTACACAAGCTATAAATAAATAAATGCTAACCTCAGTGAAGAGCTAATGCTTAGAGTTATGGCCCTGAAAAAAAAACCCCGAGGTTTTTGCAATAAGTACACAAGTTATGGCTTAGTATTTTTACCCATAATTAAGATGTATTTCAAAAGAGCAGCTGCCATCAAGCTGACATAAACTTGACATGATTTTCCCCTTAATGAAATCCATCATGGCAACTTAGCAACCACAGGAGTCTTATCTCTGAATCATGTTACGTGGTTGAAGGGAAAACCAGATAAATTTGCTTGCATTAGAAGGAAAGGGGCTTTTTTTTTTGTTTCATTAAGGTGTCGTGTTTCAGTACAGTAAATTCCCCTGGTGTCATCTGCAGGGTCCATTCAATCACCATAAAGGAGAGTTTTAAACCACCTTACAGATGTCAAAGGATTAAACTTCAGGCTGGTGAAGTATTGTGAAGGCACTGGTGTTTTTCACTCTCAGTTTCTCATTCAATATCTTCAGGCAGAGCACATCTGCCCCGGTCTCACTGTCCCCTACACTTAACGAGAACCCAGCTTGTTGCATGGGAGATTTTGGGGTTAACTGAGTTTTTAATCCTGATGAGAAAATACCAGGACAAAGGAAAACCTGTTATGATTTCAGGTCATATACCCTTCGCCTCACTTGCCACCATCTTCTGACTTTATTTTCTGAACTGGCTTTAACCATTTCCTCCTTTGGGCACTGTGCACACCCAGATACACACACATCAGTGAGAAAATTTTGGGGGCCCAGAAAAGTCTGGAAATTGGGCCCAGTGATCCCAAGAACTGAAAAAATGCATTTTGTTGGTGGCTGGTTTTTTACCGACTCCTACCATGATTAACTTCATTAACTGAAATACTTTGCGTAGGTGAAAAAAATTAGGTTCTGTGTCTCAGCCAGGTACTATAAATAAATCCAATAGCTAAATTTCACAGTTAGACTAAAGCCTTTGTCATCCCTCACTCATCACACCTATAGCACTGTCGAAGGGCTGTAAAGTTAATGGTGCATCCGACTGATGCAACACGTCCCTGGTAAGCACAAATTGAGTGACTGGTTTAATATCCAGATGGGTTTTTTTTTTAAAACCACCAAAGCTGGGATTGCAGTAAGATTTTGTACATGTGGGAGAATGTGTGTGTGGTGCTCACCTGTCAGCAGCTGTGCACAGAAAAGATCCTTTCTTTATCCGTGACTCATGGGTCACCTCTGCCCTTGCTTGTTTGAGAACAGCTATCCCTCCAAAAACACAGCCTGACAGCCTTCCTGGGATTTGAGAGGACATTAATAGGGCTTCATGCACAAAAGGACTGCCTGGGGATTGAGGAACAAGATGGAAAACCATACACAACTCTGGATTTACACCTAAATTTATCGATGCTGTTTCCCTAAGTTACCTGACTCCGTAACCATAACAGCCTTTAAGTGTCATTTGTTGCCTGGTTCTCTCTCTCTCACAGACACAGAAACAGACACACACACACACACACACACACATGCTGTTCCTTATCTTGCCACCACCAAGAGTACAGAATGGCCATAAAATCAGGGAATGGTTTGAGCTGGAGGGGAGCTTAAAGATCATCTCTGTGGCACGACATCGTTTCATTATTATTGGCACTGTTTGTCTTGCTTTTGCACTGGAATACACCAGTCCAGATCCAAATCCTGTCATGCTCGGTGCCATGCAGATATTTTTCAGAGGCAGGCATAGGGATTTTCCAATCCATGTCTGAGATGGAAGGCAGTGGATATCTAAAGCAGGCCAACGTGGGGAGCGGGGCAGCAAGGAAACAAATGGATTTTTTTCAGGGAATTACAAGTCTCTGCTTAGCCCTGCCTCACTGCTGACAGACGGGCAGGATTTTC